GGGATCCTCTCTCTTTACTCCACCCCTCCTTGTGCTCTCTCTCTCTCTCTCAAAATAAATAAGTAAACTTAAAAATAGATGAATAAAGATGATGTGATATATATGTGAATACACATACACAATGGAATATTACTCAGCCACAAATAGAATGAAACCTTGCCATTTACAACAACATGAATGAACCTTGAAGGTATACTAAGAGGAATAAGTCAGACAGAGAAAGACAGATAGTATATGATTTCACTTATATGTGTTATAAGAACAAAACAAATGAAGGAACAAAATTAAAGGAAACAAAACAAAACTCATAGATAGAATAGATTGGTGGTTACCAGAAGGTAAAGAAGGTCAGGTGTGGGAAAAATAGGTAAAAGGGATAATTTGTATGGCGATGGATGGTAGCTAGACTCTTTGTGATGATCAATTTGTAGTGCACAGAGATGTTGAATTATAATATTGGATATCTGAAACCTACATAATGTTATATTCCAATATTACCTCAATTTATAAAAAGACAGGACCCATTTAGAAAATCAATGTATTCTTCAGAATTTATTATTCTCAATAGTAAGAATTTATTATTCTGGTAAATTTAGGATTAGGGTGATGAATTTAATGTATAGGGTTGGCTTTTTGAAAAGAAAAAATGAAGACTACCTTTTGAAAAAATATATAATTTAACATTATTAATACTATACATTAATTGCTTCTATTTAGAAAAAACATAACTTTACAGGTCAAGATGAAAGACATGACTATAGGCTTACATTCTACACCAATTATAATGAAATAACAAATTTACATTATATATATGTATGTATGTAAAACATAAACACACACATACTACTGTATTCACCTAGCGCCACTTAGCAATTCTTAACATATAAAACTGAGGAAGAAAGGACCCAAGAAACAAGATAGGGAGCGATGCTGTAGCTCCAGGAATAGGAGCTCTTATACAACAGGAACTGATTTATAACAGTGCTTATCATTTTAATGCGGTGACATTCAGGAACAAGAGAAGACTTAGTGTATGTTTACAGTCAGTGGACTATCTCCACAAAGGCAGACAGATACCTATTCCAGAAAATGCAGAATTTCTTTCCAAAACAAACCAATTTCAGAAAAGATCTCAATTTTATGCTGGCCCAGAGTCTGCAAGCTTGGGAGAGGTTCGTGATGTCTATGACTGGAAACGCCTAGGAAGTATAAGAAGCGCACATTTCAGAAGACCAGATGACTAATAACCCAGAACTTATGCAAACCTTATCTTTGTAATTCCTATAAAACTACTATAATGTACTATAGCAGACCCAATACATTATCTTAGACCAAATGCAAAACAGGCAAAAGAAAGTATGACAGGATCTCAACTAAAATGGCAAGTATACGATACAAAACAATTTAACTTCTGAGGAATATCTACATCAAGAAGGAAAGATATCAAATTCAACAGATGAAATAAATGATTCCTAAGAAAAATGTAAAGTAGTAAGACAGGACCTGAAAAATAAGTACATTTAACATCCTTAGAGAAGTAACAGGATGTATTACACTGCTAACCTGCTGACAGACAAATATGGAAATGATCCAATTATAGATCATATAAATGAAAATTTAACTGTTGTTTTTTAAGTAAATTATTATTATGAGTAAGAGATTGGATATATCTGAAGCATCAAAGCTAAGAAAGTTTCTGAGATTAAATACAAACTAATCTTATAGGTGGAAGATATGCAAGAATAAGTAAAAGAGAAGCTCTTTCCAAAACTTCCAACACCAGCTAATGGAAATTTATGTAGGCAAATATAATACAGCAAAGAGGCAAGAGTTAAGAATATATTTCAAAACTGCTGAGAAATGGAGATTTAGGTATGCTTATTTCACTTTTTTACTATGGGTCATGTAAGAAGTTAAATACAAAAAAACTAACAAAAAGTAAAGGACCTTGTATAGCCAGTCATCAGAATTCTAAGGAAGAACAAAGTTGAATTAATCACATTGCTCACTTTCAAGATCTTCCATAAAGCTACTATAAATGAGACAGCATACTATTGGCCAAAAGAGAGAGAGAAAGAGCTCATAAATAGACCCATTAAAATATAATCAACTGACTTTTTTAATATGCAAAGGTATTTCAATGGAGAAATGATAGGAATTTCAATTAATGGTGCTGGGAAAATTGGATGCCCATATCAAAATGTTGAAGCTCAACCCAGATCTCACACCTTACACAAACATTAAAAAAGTATTATACCTATTATAAAACTTCTCCAATAAATCATAGGAGGAAACCTAAGTGAACTTAGTGTTGGTAAGTTTTTGGATATGAGAGAAAAATCAAAATCCATTAAAAAATAACAGTAAGGTGGATTTGATTTAGTTTAAAATAAACACATTCATAAAACATCAACATCACACACAGCTACTATGAGACAATTATGGATCAAGACAAAAACAAGACAATATCATAACTGTGTTTAAATACAGGCAAAATATAAACATGTTCCAAGCCAGAAAAAAAATGACCAAATATCTCCTTGTTGGGCTACCATGAGAAGCTGTTGCTTCTTAACCAATTACAACTCTAAGATTGTTCTAGCCTTCCCTTCTCCTAGATAAGATTTATTAAGATACACAATCATAGAATCACCTGTACTTCCTGCACTGCATCCAAACCAGAACAAAAGCCTGTTTCTTAAAAACTTCACCAAGCCCCTTAAGGCTAAATCTTAATGTCTTTCTAACACCTTCTTGCTGAGATGCCTCATGGGTCCCATTGTGTGTATTCTTTCTCACCACAATAACCCTAACTTGTTTTGACTTACACGTATGTTCACAATGGTCTTTGGCAGGAAGGCACTGACAGAAGGAAATAAACCCACTGTAACTGTTCTCCTCATCTGAGGACATTCTTCCCAGTGTTATACCAATAATGGCTTCCACGGTTATTTGGCTTCCACAAATATACTTAGATAAAATTTTGAGGGTTGGACACCTTCTGCATAATTCCTGCAATATCCACAAATCCACGCCATTGTTTTAGTGGAAAGTGTGGTTGTCATGAAAAACTGAAAGTCCATGAAAAAAGAATCTTTCATATGTCTAATAAAATTTTTTAAAGGCTTGGGATAATAAGGTATTAAAGGAAGAAAATAAGAGAGATAAAGATGTCTACTATAAGAAATCAAAGGAGACCATTAGCATACTCTATCACAGGGAAAAACAGCTTACAGAGTTCCATATATAGAATACAAAAAATGTAGACAGATACTGAACACATTAGGTAAAACCATGTCATGTTCCACAATGTTGCCATATGCTTTGTGACAGGCAATTTGAAGTAAACAGCTTGAAGTTTAAAGTGACCATGCAGTGACAAACAGAAGTACAAACAGAAGTAAATCAGAAAAAACAAACAAAACATATTTTGTGCAAAGAAGTTTTTCATAAAAAAGTATTTTACTTATAATGAAATTGGAGTTATAAATTATAAAGATTAGATTTCATGTCCTAAAACTTATAGGTTTGATGCCCTTAACATTTTTAATCTTTTTTTCTAAATACATGTGTGTATGTATTATATATGTATATAATATATATATATATTATATATATTTCCTATTTCAGAAGATTAATGTAAGAATTAAATGAGATTAGTATAAGAAATACAACTACTCTAAAGGAAATTATTTTATTATGATTTTCAAGTACATTTTCGCACACATTTTATTTTTTATTATAATTGTTCAGTAGTAGAACTTAATCGGATAAGTTCCAATTCTATATGTCAAAACACAGTTAATGAATTCTTAATTTTTTAACCTTTATTTCAAAAATTGTTCCTTCAACCTGAAAATTTTTTCCAGGGTTACCTGGAAATATAATGTATTTATATTATAATATATAATAAATATAATTAATATAATATAATATAATATAATATAATATAATATAATTTAATATAATACAATATAATAAAATATATTGACTACAGCATTTTAACAACATGGAAATCTAAACCCCTTTATTGTGACATCCAGTTTAATATGTAAAATATGAAAACTATGCAAATTTGAAATATTTTAGTTAAGAAAATATTCAAGAGTGGATGCCTTCAATTTAACTCTTTTTCTATAGCAACTAAGCATTTTCAACTTCTTTTTCCAATTAGTACTTATTTATTGCAATCTTTTTCATTATATGCAGGCAAATATGACATTATTTTCTTTTTCTTACCTTCTTTCTTTGGCTATTACCTCTACAAAGTCTGATGCTTCTGGGTCAAAATTTTTTTTTTCTTTTTTGTCGCTTTAGTGGCCATTCACAAATTTGTAATAATTGCAGGTTGGACCACTGTTACACATATTTCATACTGATTTTTTTTCTACCCGTATTACTCCTGAGAAGAGTTTACTATTTTTTGGAAGTTGTGTGCAAGTATGTCAGAAGAAAGGGAGAGATGAGAAGGGCACAAGAGTTAGCAGAAGTGTGGGGAAGGGAGGATCAGAATATACTAACAGACAAAATAATGCAGGGAAATATTTTCCTTTGCAAGTGGCTACAGATCAGTATGATCTGACTTAATGCAAAGGTAAATAAAAAGAGACTTAAAGTTTTAAATTATAGAACAAATATTCTTGATTGTTCACCTGCTTCTCTGAATCTTCACTCTCATTTGACTTTATCTTCCATGGAACTGTGACATGCAGTAATATTTCTTCAGAATCTGCAGTAGGAAAATGGGTTTTTGTGGGTTTGTTTGTTTGTTTTTTTGGCAACAATCTTCTCGGTTGAGCATGGAGTTCTTAATCCTGAGCACATGGCAGTCTCCAATTGAAAGTAAACTTCCATAGATGTGCCCACCCTCCTTGGTGTCCAACTTTCACTAGATTTCCAGGGGCACACTCAAAATGGCTAAGATTCAAACAAATGAACAAAAAGTAGACATTACAGTTCTACAGGACCATCCTGTTGGTTTCCAGAACAACGTCAGTGCCCATTTCCTTGGGACTCTGGGGAATAAACCGAGGGCAGGACTCACCCTCTAGAACCTCTGGCCAGGAAGACTGGCTGCATTTCAACTGCTGACTCTAGACCCTGATGCGTGGAGTAGATACCTTGGCTAACATCCTCAGTCACCTACCCGGGCCTGGGGGTGGGGAGGGGGGAGAGATGCTGGGGAAGGCACCAGGAGGAGATCAGAAGGGGAAGACCATAGGAGGCCATAGGAGTACCACAAAGCAAATTGCTATCCTGGCAGAGCCCAGCCCTGCTTCGAGGCAAAAGGAGAAGGAAATCCAGGCTTCCCAGTCTTCCCAATCTTACCCAGGAGGGCGTGCAGTCCTCCAAGCGCACAGAGCAGTGCAAAGAGAAGGAACATGGCGGGGTCAAAGCGCTGCAAGCACGACCAAGGCTGAAGGCCGTTGGGCAGCTCTGAGGCTCGCGGGCAGGAGAACGCTGAGGAGTCCAGCATGCTGGCCCGGCCCTGCGGGTGAGGATTGCGCTTGCTTTCATCTCGCGCTGGCTCACCCTCAGGGCCCTGAGTGGATGAGCGGCTTCCATGGGTCAAAGGAGAGGAAGCACCAGACACAAGCCTATGCCTTTGCACACAACTGATTTGTTCGAGCTAAGTTGTCACTGATCAGACTCTTCATTAGCGACACAGGGGCAACGAGGCGTGATTTGTTTCTCTGGTGAAGTTCTCAGTAATTTTGATTCTCTGGGTCATGGTTTTCTGGCATTTTTTTTTTATTTGCTGTGATGGAGGAGAGAGGAAAATAGAGACGTTAACCACTTTTACAAGAAATTTCCTGCTTGAATCGTGCTATTGCGGACTTAATTTAGTATCTTTGCAAATAAGGAAAAATCAAGAATATTGATCTTGATCCTGGATAAGGCAATCAAAAAGCGCTTTTCATCAACAGTGTGCCTATTCATACAGTACTAGATTGTAATCATCTGAAGAAAGGGAAAGGAAACTTTAACAAGCAAGGTAGGTGTTTTGTTAACAGTTACTCTGAGCACTAGCACTCTGGTGCTGAGGCAGCAAGGCAAACAGGAAATGTGTCTTGGCTGGACAAGAGCATGCAATTGTCACTAAATATTCTAAGAGAAATCTTAAATCACACATGTCTAAGACCCAACTCAACCTCTACGCATCTCTCACTTTTATCTTCTTATATCCCAGTACACCCTATGCCAAGGATGAATTGTGTCAACAGTTGCAACGTTAAACTCCAGTCAGGCTTCAAACTTGGATCTGCTAGGTGGTAGTATACCTGGGATCCTTAGAAATTCTTATTAAAAATAAGGTAGGCCAGTTATCATAATGCCCTAAAATAAGTTAGTAGTATTGAGGATGATGGAAAGTTGTGGTAGAATCATCCTGATATGTATGTTTCTTAACCACACAAATCACCCACTAAAGTGTACAATTGAATGATTTTTAGAATTTTCCATATATTTACAGATGTGTGCAGCCATCACCACAGTCTATTTTAGTTTCATCATTTTGAAAGGGACCCTGTACCCTTTAATTATCACTACCCCTCACCCCAGATCTTCATCCCCCACCTAAACAACCCAGCCATAAGTAACCAATAATTTTTGCCTGTATAGATGTCCCCATTCTGAATATTTCAAATAAACAACATATGGGTTTTGTGGCTGGCTTTATATACTTAGCAGTATGGTTTTAAAGGTTCATCCATGTTGTAGGGGTATCAGTGTTTCGTTCCTTTTTATGGCTGAATAATATTCCATTGCATGCATAGATCACTATTCATACAATGTTTATCCATTCATCAGTTGATGGACATTTGGAAAAGGAATCTCTTAGCCTCTGTGGTGAGGTACCCCCAACCCTGAACCAGGAGCATCCTTGTTTATTGAGGGAGACTCTGTAGGTTCTCATTAGATTCCAGCTAGGTTGATGGCTCCCTTATCCATGTACAACGCTTTGAGGTATGCAGAAGTGCACTCATCTTAGTAAGAGGGAGATGGGGAGGGGGACCCTGAAGCAAGAAAATATTACCCAGAAAAGCTCAGCTCCGGCGAAGGAAGAGGAGCAAGTCTGTCTTCCCCAAAGGACAATGATATATCCTAGATCTCAAATTACATGAGGCCACAGAATTCTCACCTGGACACACAACAGTTACCTATGACCAGAAACACAGCTGGAGCAATTCCCTGGAGATGGAATGGATATTAGTGTCTATTTGGGTGTTCGTTCTGGGGCTGGCCTTATCTGGCAACATTTCCTCTCAATATCCCAAAGCTTGGAAGGGATAGGACAGGGAATCATGGGCAATTGGGAGAAGTGTGGACTGTGGGTGTCCTCAGTGAACAAGAAATGTTCACATCTGGGAATGTGACAGCTTCTCTGGTTCAAAAGTTGCTTATTTTCCCATAAAGGATCACAACATGTAGAAGAATCAATAGACATAAGCCTGCATACTTTCACTCTCAGGATTTATTTTTGTTTGTGAAGTTGAAAGCTTTGAGCCATAACCAAAGAAGAGGATAGCATTTTTTTTTTCTTTCTTTCTTGAATCAAGTCAGTTAATGGTGAGTGTCTTGGTAATATCCTTTCTCCAACCTATGGCTTTTTGACATTGTTTTGTCACTGTTGTAAAACAAATATAGAAAAAGAGAAATGCTAAGTTTTAATTGTTAATAAAAGTGATCTCATTTTACTATGCAACTAGAGGTATAGCAAATCATTGGTGTATAGGATGCTGGTTATGGTATCACAATCTAGGCCTGTGCTTCATGAAATTTGTAAGCCCAGGTTTCTTGTTCCTAAATTGTCTGGGATAGGCACAGTGAAAGGAAATGCTAAAAGTAGTTATTCAGAAGCATTTTAATTACACAGTTTCTACACTTCACATGGATTAAAGAAAATCACCAACAAGGAAACAGAGAGGAAAAGAACACTAGAATATGTGAAGAAATAACTACTAATTTGTCTATTTTTATCTTCAGAGGAAGAGTATTTCAAGAAGCCCTCTGTGCCTTTCCAACAGGTGTCCCATATACATACAGATGGAGCTGTTTTAACTAGCCTCCAGTTCTTACTGAGTTTGACTTTTTCCCCAAATATGTAAAAAAGCAGTCCATATCATGCTGAATCCCTCCCTTACCACTTTAAAAACACTTTAACTATACCAGAAATATTTTCTCGTGTGTGAGAAAACAAATGCCTTATCATGGCATATCAGACACTTGTCTTGGTTCACAATTACCCACATAGATTTTAATATAAATTTTAAACGTAGTAAGAGCAGAAGTTTGAAATCAGGTCTGTGTTTACATTTAACCTTGCTTATCTTGCTGCTTTATCAATAAACATTATTTAGGCACATTTTCTTACACTTTATATTCAAACTGCCAATTCATTCTGTTTGTCTCCTTCAAAATTTATTCCTCAAACCACCTTTACTACCCCTGGTCTGAGGTACCATCCTTTTCCTCCTGCATTTTGCAGTAATTTCTCCACCAACTGGTTTCTCCACTTCTCCTCTTGCCACCATACAATTTTCAAGAAACCAGCCTTTTAAAGTGGAAATCTTGTGCTTGAAACCTTAATCCTCCAATGATTTCCTCCTTTCACTCCAAATAAAAGACAGATAGCCCCCAAGACCTCCACAGCCTACAAGGGTCTTACTGTCTGACCTACTCACTACCACAGTCCCCTTACTAACTCTGCTCCAGCTAAACTGACATCACTGTTATTCATCAAACATTCCTGACTTACTTCTTCATTGGATCATTCACATGCTTGGAAAGCTCCTGCCTAGATATACGCATGGCGACCTCTGCCAGCTCTATGCCTCTGTAAGGAGTTGATTTACAGCTGGAATGGAAAAGCTCTATCTTTATCTCTGGGAAAGCCTGGATGCTTGGTTTCACTTTTTGCCAAGACATTGGCAGTGGAATTTATAATGGGCTGTTTAAAATTTAAGGTGGGGCGCCTGGGTGGCGCAGTCGGTTAAGCGTCCGACTTCAGCCAGGTCACGATCTAGCGGTCCGTGAGTTCGAGCCCCGCGTCAGGCTCTGGGCTGATGGCTCGGAGCCTGGAGCCTGTTTCCGGTGCGATGCTGTGTCTCCCTCTCTCTCTGCCCCTCCCCCGTTCATGCTCTGTTTCTCTCTGTCCCAAAAATAAATGAAAAACGTTGAAAAAAAAATAAAAAAAAAAATTTAAAGTAAGGAACCTTGAGACCTTGTGCATGAGGTATCTCTCTGGTGCCCATTGCTTGCCTGCACTCTCTCTTGCTGCACTGTATCCTTTACATTTAAATAAAAGCCCCATGTGAACTGAACCTGGGAGTTCAAGTACCTCCTTTAAATATCTAAACTGAGTCAATACTTGCAAATCCTCCAATTCTTTGTTTACACATCTCTTGCTGAATAGGGCCCACTCATTGGATTATATTTAAAACCAATTGAATTTAAAACCAGCTTCTCCCTCATCACCAAATCTCCCAATTATCCCTACTGAGAAATAAGACTATTTTTCATAACGGGTAGTAATTATGTTTTCTTTCGTAGCAGAAGATGGGGAAACAGAGATCCATTGACTTAACTCTCCATCAAAGTAAGATATGGAGGAATAGCAGATTAGTAAGTGAGTGAACTCTTGTTTTCACTCATGGTTGAATTTTTAATTTTTCCACTTATTCACAGTGATAGGTATAACATGTCAAGTATTATGATTTCTTTATGTATTGACTTACAAATTTGAATATATACAGATATATACCTAATATATAGAATATATTATATATAGATATATACAGAATATACAGAATATATTCAGATATATCTGTATATATGCAAGTATGTATATGTGTGTGCATATATATATATATATATATATATAATATAGAGAGATGCAAACACTATCCCATCTTATAGTAAAGAATTGTCTTTCTACGCTGGAGGGACACTGCATTTATCATTTTGCCTGGCATCTAATAGATCCTCAATGATTGTAAATTCCTTCTCATTACCAGGCATACATCAAACTGTGCAAAATTGTAGAGTACTTAAGAGTTAAACCCTAGAGTCTGGTTGTCTTAAATGAAACTCTGGCTCAAACTTACTACAACCTGTACACATAGGGAATTAAATTCCTTATGCCTGTTCCCTCACTTTAAACTGAGAATAACAATAGCCATGGAGTCTTAGTGAGAAAGAAATGTAAACATCAGGAGTCAATCTGTGTAACTACCAATGGGAACCCCAAGTGTGGGAGCAGGATGCATAAATGCTCATAAATATTTTAAGAACATCTTTAAATTCTCTTTAAAATAATTTCTTGGGGCACTTGGGAGGCTCAGTCAGTTAAGTGTCCAACTTTTGGTTTTAGCTCAGGTCATGATTTCATGGTTCATGGATTTGAGCCCTCTGTCAGGCACTGTGCTGACAGTGCAGAGCCTGCTTGGGATTCTCTGTCTCCCTCTTTCTGACCCTTCCCTGCTCATATGCTCTCTCTTTCTCTCTCAAGATAAATAAATAGACACTTAAAACATTTTAAAATAATTTGTCATTACAAAAATGTTGGTTAATAAGTCTCTGGCTAATATTAGTGAACATTAACATTTCTAAATTAATATAAAACAAAATTACAAAGTGAGTTCGGTCTTTGTTTTAGTATATGATATTGATAAATAAGAATCAGTATGATGAAATGTGGAATAGGAAGTATTGTTAGAAATTTAAAAAACTATTTCATGAAATAGTTAAAAATTAAATTTTTTAGTTTCATAGAAATTTAAAAAAACTACATCATTTAAAATACTTTGACTCCTTCAATTCACCTTTAATTCTATGACCGGTTGCTGTTACTACTGCTGTCTTCTGATATATATCTGCATAAAAGAAATAGCATTACTTTTAGGGTTATGTAACACGTAGTCTTAAAATCAAGAAAAGTAGAAAAACTAGATTTGTACTATTTACTCCATTCACATGTACCACTATCGCCTTTGCTTCCCATATCCCACTCAGTGATCACATATCTAGCATTTGGTCTTTCTAATGTTGATCTAGGTTTTAAGAATGTTAAGCATTTAAAATTTCAAACTTAAATCCATCTAGTACTTTTTTTCTATTTTGTCTACATGAAAGACAGGATGAAATAGTAGTATGTTTGATAATGCTTCTCCAAAGTTAAAAAAGACGATTTACACACAAGTCTTCAAATTCTTAAATTACCATATCTTCAATTATATTATTCTATCAAATAACTATGTAAGTAACTATTTCACTTTTATTACTGAGGTCCTTAATGAGGTTTATGTATCTTTCAGCTACATTGTTACATGCTGTGGCATTAAACCTCCTTTTTTTTCCTTTGGCTCCTATACTCCTGTTGAAGAGGCATGTCATTGTGTTCACGTTCTTACTACATAGCAACAATACCTTACCCACAGATGATAAGATCAAGTTTGAACACCTAACTCAGAATTATAAATCCAGACAGAACATTGGCTAAATTTAGGTACACTTACACAGCTATTTTCTTGTATCTCTTGAGAATATGAACTAAGAAGCATTGGGTGTGGAAAGATTATTCGTATTTTATTTGAAAACAAATCTGAAAAGGATTAAGATAGGTAAACTGGACCATGTGCAAGCAGAGCAGTCATTTTGGAAGAATGGATAGAGAGACAAGAAGAGATTATTTCACTCATAAACCTTTGGGTCATAGAAAGAATAACCTATTTCCTGACTGTCCAATTCATTACCATCCCTTTGGACGTCAGCTGTACATCATTTCTTACCCTTGTGGCCCTAAAGCCACTTGTTGATCTAAAACTTAGGCTGTTGCGACTAGATTTTGTTATTTATGGTTCATGATCCCTTACTATAATCTCTCTTCCAAAAATCAGGTTTCCTCCTAGCAACTATTCAGATTTTGTCAAGATCTCTTAAGATCACCAGAAGACTTTAAATAAATTGTAACAAATTGATGATTATGTAAATGCATATATAAATTATGCAGAATACTACATTGACTTTAACTTGTTGCTGTAACTTGTTGAGAAATAAAATTAACTAACTTGGGAAATAGAGGTGTTGGTGGAAATTTTCTATTATTTTATCTCCATCTACACAAGAAATGGAGACATTTTCCTTTAGCATGGAACAACAAGCCCCACTTATTTACCTTTACTTCTGCACTCTCATTTTCCTAAATATTCACTAAGCAAAGTTCTGGCTTATATTGGTGTTATAGTAGAGAAAAAAGCATTTAAGTGAAGTAATTCAGACAGAGAAGGTCAATTACCATATGATCTCACTTATATGTGGAATCTAAAATTTAAAAAAAAAAGGAAAGAAAAAAAAACCCTTATAGACACAGGAAATAGAAGAACAGATTAGTAGTTGCCAGACATGAGGGTAGAGGGTAGGCAAAATGTGTGAAGGGGGTCAAAAGGTACAAACTTCCAATTATAAAATAAATAAGTCATGGGTATATAATAAATAATATGGTGACTATAATTAATAACACTGTATTGAATATTTGAAACTTGCTAAAAGAGTAGATCTTAAAAGTCCTCATCACAAGAAGAAAACATTTGTAACTATATATGGTGACAGATGTTAACTTAGACTTATTGTGGTGATCGTTTTGTAATATATACAAATATTGAATTATTATATTATATATATATGAAACTAATGTTATATATAAATTGTGTTTAATTAAAATAAAAGACCTAATCAAGCTCAGCTCTACCAAAGAAGTAAAAACAATTGTGAAAGTACCTCAATTTTATTTTTAGAAATACACGAACAATATTAAGTGTAAAATGCATCATGTTCCATGTTCTTTCTTCATTATCTTATTTTTTTTAATTTTTCTCACCTTCTACATATTCTATTTACAAAATTTGCTTCTCTATCTCTATTACTCTCCTTACCACAGATGAATGTCAATTCAAGGAAAGTGGGGTTGCTTGGAAAGTAGAAACTTCTCCTAAAGCAATTATAGTCAACCTGGTTTCCTATTTGAAATGCGCTAAGAATTAACTGAGTATCTTCAGTTGTCTCTGGACCTATAATAACATAAAAGATACCTAACTAACTGAAATTTAGAAAAAAATCTGTGTATACAAAGACTCAATATTTCTAAACGTAGCACAAACTATCCAGGAATCCCTATTTGCAATATTCTGAATTACATTTGGATTCTTCCCATAATATATTTTAATATTAAATATAAACAATAATAAATTTATTTACCCTTTATTTTCTATTCCCTCTCGGTTCCAAAGTTGTATTTTATTCCATTTAAAAGCAAGGATGGCAATTAAAATAAGGAAAGGTAGAAAAATGTAGAAACCAAACAAGAGGCCATGTTTTCGAGAAGCCACATGTTGTTTTATAAACAGGTATTCATCTCCACCTAAAAACATGAGAGTACCTTTTAACATTTTCAAAACATATATTCAAAGCATATTAGTAATTTTAACTATAAAAGTTAGGGATTCAAATAATATGTATTTTCCTATATTCTATGACTATTCCCCAAAATCCACCACAATTACATATGTGTATGTGTATCTATATCTATCTATATCAATAACAATATTTATTTTTAAATTCTTTTTTCATTTATTTATTTTTGAGAGACAGAGAGAGCACATGTGGGGAGGGGCAGAGAGAGAAGGAGATAGAATCCAAACCAGGCTCCAGGCTCTGAGCTGTCAGCACGGGGCCCAACGAGAAGCTCTAACTCAGGAACCAGTGAGATCATGACCTAAGCCGAAGTTGGATGCTTAACCGACTGAGCCACCCAAGCGCCCCAACACTTACTTTTAATCTTTATGTCTATATTTAATCTTTAGTTTTGTGTTTTATTAAATATATTTATTCTATTGCATTCTCTTCTACGAACTACTTAGAATTCATTAAATTAATTTTCTTATTTAATAAGTTCTTTCATTAAATAAAATAGAGCAAAAAGAAAGTGTTTTTTTTTTAACTAACTTAATAAAAAATTACTGACATAACTGATGGCTACTTTTAAAAACAATTAATGACTGTAAACTAGGTTAAATTTCCACACTAGCTATATATAGTGATATTGTTCTATTTTTAGCTACATTAATTAGAAAAATAAATATTCCTCTAGGTGTTATAAAGTCATTACAGAAAATTAGAAAACTCTATGAAGTCTTAGTCCAGTTAAAAAAAATAAATAAACCAGATAACTAAAGTACATAATGCTAAATTAAGCAATCAGAATTACCCTTAAAACAACTATGATGGCACTAAATGCAAATGAATTTAGTGTCTTTCAAAAAAAGACAAAAATTCAGTAACTTCAAAACATGGACAGAATCTAAGAAGTGATCTACCTAAAAGAAAGTAATTCAGTATGTTACATGGATTATAGGAAATAAATTGACAAATATCTACAAAATATTAAAATTAAGCTCTATATAGTGGGTTTAGGCTCTCCTTTTAAAGCTCTCCTTTCCTCCCTCATCCATCAGGAAATGTCAACTCTCCATCAGTTCACCTTAACTAAAAATTATCATATTGGAAGTGGGGCTTCCTTCTCATGTCCTTAGTTACTCCAAAGGCTGATTAAAGAAGTTGGACCTAATCATTATTGGATTAATTCGGCAATATCCATTACTCTAAGGAAGAAAGGGCTTCCAGTTTGGCCATGATGAACACTTTTCATTAAATAGTGCTTAACTAGCCTTTTTATAATACAATAAATAGAAACAGAAATTAGAAATAGAAATAGAAATATTAAACAGGACAAAATACATGAAGGAAATGGTTTCTGGAAATCAACAAAAAATGCAAATCTATAATATCTGAAGGAAAGAAAACATGATATATTTTATAAAAATCCAGTTTACCCATGGACAATTTACTGATCTCAGCACAGAGAATTGAAGTCCTATAAAATACAGAATTACCACTGAGTTAAGGAGGCAGAGGAAAGAATTCACAACACTCGTAATGGCTAGAATCTGTAGGGTGCAGCACTGGAGAGAAGGGGAAAGATATATAAACTTATACACAGTCTGAAACAACCTAAAGCTAATTAGATAGCAGCTCTCACTGGGTTGAGGGTGGAAAGGAGAAACCAGAGTCAGAGCAGTGCTGAAAAAAGAGTACCAAGGAGATCCCAATTTATCCACGTCCTCATGTTGCCTATATTTAAAAAAAAAAAAAAAAAAAAAAAAAAAAAAAGTTTATTTTATTTTAAAAGAGAGAGAGACAGAGAGACAGAGAGATAGAGAGTGAGCAGGGAAGGGGCAGAGAGAAAGAATCCCAACAGAACCCGATGTGGGGCTCAATCTCACAAACTGTGAGATCCTGACCTGAGCTGAAATAGATTCAGATGTTTAAATGACTGGGCCACCTAGGAGCCCTGCCTGTATTTTTTATTATAATCATCCTAAAGAATGTTAAACAGTATCTCATTGGCCTTGACTTACATTTTCCTAAAATGTTGAGCATCTTTTTCATAGTCTTATTGGCCATTTGAATTTTTTTATGGAAATGTGTATATTTAAATCTCTTCCTATTTTTTATTGAGTAGTCTTTTTTATTATGAACTTGTATTGTTTACATATTCTGGATACAAATCCCATATGAGATATAAGATTTACACATATTTTCTCTCATTTGGTAGATTCTGTTTCACTTTCTTGTTTGTATCATTTGCTCTACAAAAGTTCTTAATTTTGATGAAGTTCAATCAATCTATTGTTCTGTCTTCACTTGTGCTTTGATGCCCTCTAAAAACATAGCCTATGCCAAGGTCACAAAGTGACCTTAGTTATGTGTGTTGTGTTTTATACGTTTAAATCTTACATTTAGATCTATGATCTATTTTCCATTAATTTTTATGAATATTGTGATGTAGCAATCTAACTTCTTTCTTTTACATGTGGTTATCTACTTCTCCCATTTGCTGAAGACATTTTTTCCCCATTGAATTGACTTGGCATCCTTGTCAAAGATGAATGACTATAAGTATGAAGTTTTATTTCTGGACTCTCTATTCTATTCCATTGAACTAATGTCTATCCTTATCTTTAGGTTATTACTACACCATCTTGATTACTTTAGCTTTGGATTATCTTTTGGAATTAGAAAGTATGTTTTCAGCTTCAAGTTTTCTTCAAGACTTCTTTTACCATTCCATGTCCCTTAAATTTCTGAATGACTTTTAGGATCAGCTTATCAACTTCTGCAAAAAAAAATTAAAAAAAAAATAGTGCTCGGGTTTGTTAAGAATTGTGTTGAATTTGTAGATCAATTTAAGGGGTATTTCTGTATCAACAATATTGAGACTTCTAATACATGAACCTGGCATGTCTTTACATTTTATGCAGATCTTTCCATCAATAATGCATGTTTAGCTTTCAGTGCATATCTTATACTTCATAACATTATTTCTAAATATTGTATTATTTTGGTAATATAAAGGGAATTTTTCCTAATTTAATTTTTATCATGGAAAAATACACAATAAAGTTTATAATTTTAAACATTTTTAAGTGCATCATTGCCACCATCAAACACCAGAACTTTTTTCATCCCTACAAACTGAACCCTTAAATATTAATTTATCATTTTCACTCCCCCAATCCCTGACAAGTACACTTCTCTTTTTTTTTTCTATGAATTTGACTATTCTAGGTGCCTCATAAAAGCAGAATCATCCAATATTTGTTCTAGTGTGACTGGCTTGTTTTAATTAGGATAAGGTCTTTGTATTCCATCCACGTTGTAGCAGGTGTCCAAATTTCATTCCTTTTTAAAGCTGAATGATAGTCCATTTGTATGTATATGACACATTTTGTTTCTCCATTTATCTGTTGATAGACATTTAAATATTTCTACCATTTAGCTATTGTAAATAATGCTGTTATAAGCATGGGTTACTGTAGATTGGAAGGGTCAATAATATATAGAAAAGATATGAAACCTTCCTAAATTGTTCCATAGGTTTAACATAATTTGAATTAAGATCACAGCAAAAAGTTTTTAAACATAGATAAGCTTATCTTGAAATGTACATAGAAAGGAGACCCTAGAATAGTCAAAACAATTTTGAAAAAGAAGAATAAAGTGGGAAAAAACTCTTCCCAATGTCAAAGATTGCCATACAGTTACAATAATCAGAACAGTATAACAATGAAGAAAATGACACATAGATAAATGGAACATAATAGAGAAGTGAGAAATACACTAACACAAAAATTTCCAATTAATTATTGATGAAGGAACAAAAACAATTCAAAAGACAAGTGAATGCTTTTTCAAAGAATTATGGTGCAGCAATTGGAGATGTGTTAATCAAAAAGTTAACCTCCCACCCTTTACAAAATGTAACTCAAAATGGATCATGGACTTAAATGTAAAACACAAAACTGCATCTTTTAGAAATGTCATGGCAGAAAATCTTCGGGACTTAAGGTTGATAAAGAGTTCATACACTTGGCACCAAAAGCATGATCCATTAAGGAAAAGAAGTAGACTTTATCAGAAAAAGAATTAATATTTGGGGTCTGAGGGAAAACAAATTACAGACATGGAAAAAAATGTATTCAAATTATCTATCTATCTATCTATGAAACCAAAAAACCAAAAAAAAAAAAAAAAAAACAAAAAAACTATAAAAAAAAAAAACAAAAAAAAAAAAAAAAACAACCAAAAAAACCTCTAAAAATTCAACGTTTAAAAAAACACAGTCTAATTAGAAAATGGGCAAAGACATGAACAGATTTTCACTGAAGAGAACATACAGACGCCAAATAAACACATTAAAGACATTCAACATCATTACCCATTAGGGAAGTTCAAATTAAACCTACAATTAATACATACCTAATAGAATGACTAAAAAAAACCCAAAACCAAAAACCAAAAAACAAAAAAAAACAAAACAAAAAAACAGTGATATCACCAAATATTAGTGAGGATGCCAAAACAATGGGTCATTCATATACTGTTGGTAAGAATGTCAAATGTTACAGTTACTCTGAAAAATAGTTTGGCAGTTGCTCTTAAATCTATAAATGGATTATTATTGACCCAGCAATTTCACTTTTGAGGATGTTTCCCAGGGAATTCAAATTTTACTTTCATTCAGAATTTTCCACACGTGTGCATTGGAGATCTATTCATAGTAGCTAAAAATTGGCAAATATCCATCAGTAGTTTGATACATCTGTACAAAAGAACACTAGTCATCAATAAAAAGGCATGAAGTATTTATACTTGCAACAATTTGGATGCAGTTCATGGAAATTACGGAAGAGAAAGAAGCCAATCTCCAAGAGATATAAACTGTATGATTCCGTATGTATAACATTCATGAAATAACATAAGAGAGATAGCAGTTTAGCTATTACCAGGAGTTAGCAATGGCAGAAAAGGGGATCAGTGTAGCTATATAAAGGGGTAATATTAGGAACCATAAAGTGATGATACACTTCTGTATTTTGATTGTGGTGGTGGTTACACAAACTTGAACATGTGGTAGAACTGCATGAAACTGAATACCAACACCCACATATGCACTCATACACACACACACACACACACACACACTATATAGATGTATACTAGTGAAATCTGAGTAAGGTCTGTGATTTTAATAATGTCCATTTCCTTGTTTTGCTACTGTACTATAGTATTAAAATACGTTAAAACTGACAGAGTCTGAATAAAGCGTACATAGGACTTCCATCTGCATTTTTTTGTAGCTCTTTGTGAATCTATAATTATTTCAACATATTAAATAAAAATCACAGAGGGATATCATTGGACATCTACAACTGGCAAAACAAAATCAAAGCAAACCAAACAAAAATGACAACATCAAGTGCTTGTGAAGTGTTCAACATCCATGCAGAGAAACTGGAACTCTCATTGATAAATGCAAGGAAGGAAAACTGGTACATTCATGTTAGAAAATAGTTTCGCTATTTTTTTCCTTTTTTTTTTTTTAAAGTTTATTTATTTTGAGAGAGAATGTGTGGGTGTGGAGGAGGGACAGAGAGAGAAAGAGAGAGAGAATCCCAGCCAAACAGGCTCCACACTTTCAGTACGTAGCCTGATGCGAGGCCTGAACTCACAAGTTGTGAAATCATGACCTGAGCTGAAATCAAATTGGACGCTTAACCAACGGAGCCACCCAGGCACCCCAAAGCTATTTCTTGTAAAATTAAAAATACACTTGCTAAAAACTAAACACTTAATAAATGACCCAGAAATCTTATTCCTTGGTGTTTACCAGCCAAACGGTGAAAATTTACGTAAACACAAAAGTCTATGTGCACATGTTTATAGCAGGTTTATTTAAAATTGCCCAAATCTAGAAATAACCCAAATACCTTTCAATGGCTGACTGGATAAGCAAATAAGAATGCATCATTTCAATATAGAAGCCTACTTAACAATAAAAGAATGAGCTATTAGGGAGCCCTTGGCTGGATCAGTTGGTATAGCACACAACTTTTGATCTCAGGGTTATCAGTTCATGCCCCACATTGGGCCTGGAGCCTACTTAACAAACAAACAAAACAAACTAAACAAACAAACAAATGAATGAACTCTTAAACAGGAATATGACCTATGACAACAGGAATGGATCTGAAATGCATATGTACTGCAAATGACATTCTGAACAAGGCAAATCTATAGGGACAAGAACAGGTAATTTGTTTCCAGGAATCGGCAGTGGGGCATGAATACAAAAGAGCAGCCAGTGGGAACTATTGAGGTGAAAGATCTATTGTGCATTGTGACTGTGGTGTTGGGAACAAAAGTCTGCGCTTTTTTCAATACTCATTGAATTATATCCCACAGCGCGAATGTCACTGTGTATCATTTTTTAAAACCCAAAGATGTTTAATAAAAAATATTTAAAAAGAGACAAGGGTTTAAGATTTTTTTCAAAATTTCCAAAGCCATATTAACCTATGGATTCAAGAATCACAGCCAACGTAAGCAGGATAAATTCAAAAAGAAACATGTCTTGATAAATTGTAGTGAAACTGGAAAATCATATAAACATGTAAAATAAAAATGTATAACATAAACACATATAAAAGAAGTATAAAAAAATTAAAAAAACATTAATCAGAAGAATACTAAGAATGGCACTGTAGGGGCTCCTAGGTGGCTCATTTGGTTGAGCATATGACTCTTGATTTCAGCTCAGATCATGATTCCAGGGTTATGGGACCAAGCCCCACAGTGGGCTCCACACTCAGCATGGAGCCTGCTTAAGATTCTCTCTCTCTTTCTCTCTCTCCTTCTGCCCCTGTCCTCCAAGTACAATCTCTCTCTCTAAAAAAAAAAAAAAAAAAAAAAAAAAAAATGACACTGTATTCTCATCAGAAGATCTAAGCTAGAATCAAAGATTACATCTTTGGGGCGCCTGGGTGGCGCAGTCGGTTGAGCCTCCGACTTCAGCCAGGTCACGATCTCGCGGTCCGTGAGTTCGAGCCCCATGTCAGGCTCTGGGCTGATGGCTCAGAGCCTGGAGCCTGTTTCCGATTCTGTGTCTCCCTCTCTCTCTGCCCCTCCCCCGTTCATGCTCTGTCTCTCTCTGTCCCAAAAATAAATAAACGTTGAAAAAAAAAAATTAAAAAAAAAAAAAGATTACATCTTTGAACTGCTGAAAGAAAAACTTCTCAGCGTAGAATTATTTAATTCCAGTGAAAATAGTCTTTGGAAATTAAGACATTTTTATAAAACTTTTAAAGACAAAAGCTGAGAAAATTGGCCACCACAAGGTACAAACAAAAAGAAATATAAAAGGAAGTTTTTTCAGAGGGAAAAAAATGACCCACATGGAAGAGTTGAAAAGCCCTTGATAACTGCAAATGGATGGGTAAATGTAAATATTTATATTAAAAATCTTTAAAATTTCATTATATATTCAAGGCAATATAACAATGATCTATTATCAGATTTACGACATATATAAATAAAGTATAAAGGTACAAATGATGGAAAGACATTAATGAAATTATACTGCAAAGATTTTTACATTTTGAAGTTTAGAAAGAACAAATACACTTATATATATTCATCAATGTCCACCAAATATTTTTTAAATGTTTTGTACCATCTACTATCCATATGCTATGGATACTTAAATTTAAATTAAATAAAGTAAAATAAAATGGAAATTTAGGTTCCTCGTTGCACTATCTATATGTCAGGTGCTCTATAACCACACAGTCAGTGGAGATGCAGACCATTTCTGAAAGGGGAGGAAGCTCTTTGAAACACACTCATCTGGATACTAACTTCCTTTACTCCAAAACCCATTATCAATACTTCCTCCTGGTGATAATGGTGATGGTTTACAATATGGAGGAGTATATCCAACATCACAGTGACAATGAAGCAAATTATTGCAAACCTGAAACCAAAACCGAATAAAAAATAAGGTCATTTTATGTACAACATAAAAATTAAATGCATTGTTCTGTTAGTCAATGTAAATTATTAAAGTATTGTAATTTGTATATTTATTTTAATGTGGCAAATATTTTTAAAATAAAATATAACAAATTCCCATGCATTAACCTTTTAAATGTCATTAAGATTTTCTTTTGTTTCGTATGTTTTCAAATAAAAGATAACCTTCTTGATAAAACTGAAATGCGTTATTCCAAAAAGGCACCAAATTATGAACCAAAAAATTATACTAATCATCAGTGAAATGTAAATCAAAACCACAATGAGATATAACCTCACAACAGTCAGAATGGCTAGTATCAAAACAATAATAAATAAATAATAAAGAAAGAAAGAAAGAAAGAAAGAAAGAAAGAAAGAAAAAAACAAGTGTTGGTGAGAATGTGGAGAAAAGGGAACCATTGTGCACTGTTGGTGAGAATGTAAATTAGTGCAGCCACTGTCAAAAACAGTATGGAGTTTCCCCCAAAATTAAAAATAGAACTATCATACAATCCAGTAATTCTACTACTGAGTATTCACCCAATGAAAACAAAATCACTAATTAGTATATTGCACTCTTTTGGTTATTGCAGCATTATTTACACTAGCAAAGATATGGAAGCAACCTAAATGGCTATCAGTAGACGAATGGATAAATATGCAGTATATCTAAACAATGGAGTGTTACACAGCCATAAAAAAGAAGAGATCTTCCCATTTGTGACAAGTTGGATGGACCTAGAAGATATTGTGCTAACTGAAATAAGTCAGACTAAGAAAGACAAATACCATATGATTTCATTCCTATGTGGAATCTAAAAAAAATAAATGAATAAACAAAAAAGCAGGATTAAATCTGTAAATACAGAGAACTGGTGGTTGCCATAAAGGGGAACAGGTGGGGGTAATGGGCAAAATGTGTAAAGAGGAGTGGGAGATATAGGCTTCCAGTTATAGAATGAACAAGTCATGGGGCTAATAGGTACAGCAGAGGGAATATATTCAATGATACTGTAATAGCAAATGATAGCTACATTTGTGGCGAGCATATCATAATACAGAGTTGTTGAATCACTATATTCTACACCTGAAACTAATGTAACATTGTTTGTCAACATATTTCAATTAAAAAATTATAAAATAGAAGTTAATATTTATTTTGAATTGTGCTAGGTTTAAAAATAGTGGTTATAAAAACAAACTTTTCCAAAACATGGGGAAAAAAACAAAAGGAGAAGCTTCCTTAATGAGACACAGATACCTAAATGTATTTTGTTAGAAATAGGAAGGTTAGAAAATACCTATACATGTAATTGAAAGAAGGGTCAGAAGCAGTAGGTTCATAGAAAAAATTAATAAGAAATTAAATTAAAATTAAATAAGAAAGGATAGAAATAGAAAAGAAACTGTTAATAATAGGACATGTGGGGCGCCTGGGTGGCGCAGTCGGTTAGGCGTCTGACTTCAGCCAGGTCACGATCTCGCGGTCCGTGAGTTCGAGCCCCGCGTCGGGCTCTGGGCTGATGGCTCAGAGCCTGGAGCCTGTTTCCGATTCTGTGTCTCCCTCTCTCTCTGCCCCTCCCCCGTTTATGCTCTGTCTCTCTCTGTCCCAAAAATAAATAAACGTTGAAAAAATAAAAATAAAAAAAAATAATAGGACATGTAAGTGATTTGGGAGAAATTTTTGATATAAGACACGCAGGCAGGTCACTTTATTCCTGGATTATTATATAAAATGTGAAGCATCAATATGGCAGGAGACACTAGCCACAAAATTAAAGCCAAATTTATGTTCAAAAAAACAAACTACAAAATTTCTATTCCCTAGTAGATAATTTCACAGTGGATGAACAAATTAAAATGCAAATGGAAAATACGACTATACATACATGCTTAAAAACCGTATCATTAGGTAAATACAAATTAACAATGGATTTAGCATGTTAAAAGTGATTTACAAAAACTGAGATGCTAGTCTGGCCAGAATTTGAGGAAATGCATATTTTTATACCTGATAGGAGAGAGCAAAAATTGGTATGATATGCGTTAAACACAATATACTATTTATAAAAATTTAAATAGTACATCAATGTGGCCAATAATATTTCATTAAAAATTTAACAAGAAGTCAGATGAATGTGCAAAGGTTACTGTACCCGATGTCCATTGTCCCACTACTTATAATAGTTAAGTTAAAATTTAACATCCAAAAGTCCATCAGTGAAGGACTTTTCAAATATAGTATGGAGGACATACAGGGAAATAAATTGAAGTCACTAAAGGATGAAAGAGATCTGAATAGACAAGAAACTCTGCTCTCACAAAAATATTAGATCATAATATTTTGATATAAATATATTGTGTGTCTAAATATATATCAGTACACATACACTCAACCATAAGCATATTTACATGTATGTATAAATATGTATGAATAATCCTTAATAAATTCATTTCCTAAGTATCATAATCTTGATATAAATTATAATAGATTACACTTCATATTGCATTTCTGTACAAAGTTCAAAGCTCATGAGGCCTAAAACAATAGCACATAAATCATGTACATATGTATAAATAATGGAATACAATTTCCTTATTTAACTGAAAGTTTTCAACATAATTTCTATGTCAAATAATTCTGAACCATATTATCTTGGAAAATATTATTGACGTGAACTAAAATAACTATATGTAGAAATGAAATAACCATTACATACCCCATGTCCACTGCAATTTGTAACTGAGTCACAATTTATTCTCTTTGAGTATGAATCCTTAGGAGTGCACCGTCCCCCGTCACAAAACTAAAATGTTAAAACAGCCAACAACAAAAATTTTAAATGTAAAGCCATGAATCGAGCGATTGTACTTTGTACAAAAATTTAATGCACAATATACTTTATATTTATCCTTCATATACTATATATTTATATTATTATATTATATTATATATATTATATTATATATTATTATACATGTATGTTTATATATCATAAATAACATGATTTGGAATTTCATGAGATCTACTCATTCTAAAAGAAGAACTTGGGAGTCCAAATGGTATGCTATTACTTTACCACATATAAAATTTAGAGAATGAGATACTATTTTTTTCCCATGAGTACAGCTGTGAGCTTATTGATACGAATTATTATAAGAATAAAAATAGCCACCTTGTAACTGACCATTTTTAATAAGCTAGGATCTGTCTTTGTACTTTCTATATATTTTTATAATATACACTAATACACACTCAAAGGAAATATTTTTATCCACATTTTAGATTTGATGAGAATAAATCTACTCTTCTAAGTTCAAGCACAAATTATTGACAAATGCAATATTCAGTGCAAGAACTACTTTCGTCACAGAGCGACATATTGATCAATGCTAAATAGCAGTGTTCCTGTCATTTTTATATTTTTTCCAACTTTAATGATACTGTCTCTTATCTTTCAAATTAGCAGTGTGACCTAGAGCAAGTAATTTAATCCCTCCATATCTCTGTTTATCCATCTTTGAATTTGGAACAGCAATTATACCCAAATTTTATAAAAGTGTAGGTTATAAGGATGAAATAATTTGTTAGACATAAAGGAATAAAAGTAGTATCTGGTACATAGTAAATGATCACTAAACACAGAAAGTATTTTAATTATTGTTTATTTGACCTGATTTTTATGTAAGCTCTATGTTAATATTGCTTTACCCAAATTTCAATTTAATTTGAATATCTTTAGGGAAGTCTGTAAAAATTTCTGTTGGCTTTTCTCAGGTTATCTGATAGAATATATATTATATGATGAATAGTCTTAAAAATCATTATTTCCTATCACCATTAACCAATCATCATCATAAAGGAAAGAATATCAGCTTGTTCAGTAACTGGAAGTGCTCTGATGAAGCCAGCAAGAATAACAAAAATTTTGGACAAACCAGCATTACCTGTGCACAAAATCATTTTCATTCTAGGCTCCTTAAACATTGTCATTGAGGCAATAATAACTAGTCATATTTCCCTGGGCTGTCTTTAGGGGAAAAATAAGCTGGAAAAGTTAAGACCTATGCTTCTAATATAATTTCCTGCAGGTAAAAGGGTCAATTTGCAGCTGGCTCTTTTGTAATGACAGCAAAAGCAAGAGACATTACAAAAGTAGTTAGGCCTGGGCAGTGGTTGGGATATGTTTTGAATATAAGCTAATATACAGGATTCCTTCCTTGAACAAGATACACGGTGTCCCAGAAGCAGTCATACCATGTTTCAAAGAAAAAAAAAAGCAACACATAAAAACAACATAAGTAAATACATATTTCCTAAAGAGAAATGTGAATTACATGTAAGCATATTTTTGTATAGTCCCAGGTATGAGTAAGATAAAAGGAGTTAATTTTATTCATTTATTCATTGATTACCTTATCTAATTTTGGACAAATGCCCCAAACATACTTCTTTTCAAGTTTGAAATGAATGTGTTGAGATATGTTCATCTTCCCTGGCCTACGTACGTGAACTAGAATAATTTCCCCTGTTCTAAGTCTTATAAATTAAAAAATTAAAAAGCTTTCTATCATATCCAATATTAAGCAAATTTGCATTGCTGGAATATGCCTATCTCCATGCAGTATACTCTTCACCCACTATATAACAGTATTAAATGTATGAGTGTTTTATTTATACCTTCATTATGATTAATAAGGAGATATATTTTTCTTCCTGTTAATAAAAAAATAAGAAATAAAATCTCCCCTCTCTCCCTCCTTCTCTTGCTATCTATCAAGATAATTTTTACAGGGGCACCTGGATGGCTTAATCAGTTAAGCATCCGACTTTTGGTTTCAGCTCAGGTCATGCATCTCACAGCTTCATGGGTTCGAGCCCCTGTTTGGCTCTCTGCTGACAGGGAGAGGCCTGGCTGGGATTCTCTCTCTCTGCCCCTCTCCCACTCATGCTGTCTCTGTCTCTCTCAAAATAAATAAATAAACTTCAAAAAGAAGATAATTTTTACAAAGGACCCACCTTTAGTGAGGGAAAAGTAAAGAAATCTTTCCTTTCCAACCACTCTGAAATCAACTAAACAAGAGAGAATTACACATGAAAATACAGTATAACTTTGATGAATTTTTAAAATAACCACAGGAAAATTCCAGTTTAAATTCACAGATACGGCACTCAAAATAGCTCCCCTTTTCCTAATTAATGCAAATAAAGGATCATCAGAAAGAGGCAATTGGAAGATAAAAGATTTAAGAACTTCCTGGGATTTTGAAATAAAATGAAGTCCACTAATGGATAAAATGAGGCGAGGAAGCAACATCATCAAATACAATGGTAAAAGAGAGAGCCTGGTTGATCAACTTCGAATGCTCTGGAGGAGCTGCAGCCTGAGTAAGAAGGAAAAGCAGAGGAAGAAGAGCCAAAAAGGCAGGTAGGGAAGGGTGGCTAAAATGCAGAATTTTCAATGGAAGTCTGTCCACAAAACTACAGAAGTAGTTAGCTCTCATATTCACTACTCATCTCTCCTTTCTCTCAATTACAAAATGCAGTCAACACAACACTTTTATCCCAAGGGAGATTATTTCAAAAGGTATTTTGTTTCCAAAAGCAACTGAATTAATGGTCACTGTAGAATTTCGACGTTTCAAGTGGTCTGTCCTCTGGAAGAGTTCCTATCCAATTAAACTACTGGAAGTATAGGGTGTCTGGATGGCTCAGTCGGGTAAGCATCTGACTCTTGATTTTGGCTCAGGTCATGATTTCAGCTCAGATCACGATCTCACAGTTTGTGAGTTTGAGCCCTGCATCAGGCTCTGTGCTATGTCAGCATGGAGCCTCCTTGGAATTCTCTCTCCCTCTCTCTCTGTCGCTACCCCACTCATGCTCTCTCTCTCTCTCTCTCAAAATAAAGATATAAATGTAAAAATTTTTTAAATAAAAAAATAAACTACTGGAAGTATCATGGCCTAAAAGCCAGTTTCTGAAATGAAGGCTGTCATGTGACAAAGCCTTGTCACATGGAAAAGGCTGCCGATTCGTTTTTTGTTTTTTGTTTTTGTTTTTGTTTTTGAGTTAAAAATGGTGTGGGAGTAAAAAGTCATGCCAGCTTCTACTGAACCAAGTAGGAAAAATCAGTCTTCCTTCTGCCCTACCCTTCCCTTCCCTTCCCCTCCCTTCCCCTCGCATTGCCTCCCTTCCCCTCCCCCTCCTTCCTCATTCCTTTCTTTGTTTTCCCTCCATGGGGACATTAGCCAGTTGGGCATAGGCTTATGATCAGACTTCCCAGGCAAAGAATCACTGCTGGAGAGATGAGTGAATTGATCTGTAAAGCTTAAAAGCTTTACATACAAGCTGGTTGGAACAAACTAGCATAGCAATCTTCTGTGGTATTTGCATGTCTTATTCCTATACTGTTTTATTTCAATTGTTATCATTGTAATTGTATTTTTTCCTGTACATGTAATTTCACTATCACTACTTTTAAGATTCTTTTTCTTGGTCTTTGTCAGTTTGATTATGCTACATCCTACTGTGGATCTCACTGGCTTCATCCTACATGATGTTGTTTCAATTTTTTGCATCTGTGTGTTTACACCTTTTGCCAAATTTGGAAGCATTCCAAGCATTACTCCCTGAAATACTTTTCCATCCTTAAAATCTTTCTCTTATTCTCCTAGGATCTTAGAATGGCTTTTATCATGACAAAAAGCAATAGAAAATGTTTGCAAAGATGTAGAGAAAATGGAACCCTGGTGCATTATTGGTGGAAATGTAAACCATTGCAGCCACTATGGAAAATATTATGGATGTTGTTACAAAAATTAAAAATAGAAACATCACATGATCCAGCAATTCCACTTCTGAGTATTTATCAAAGTAAATTAAAACATGTAACTCAAAAATATATGTGTACCTTCATGTTCACTGCGGCATTATTTAGATTAGCTAAGATATGTAAGCAATCTAAATGTTCACTGATGAATGAATGGATAAAGGAAATGTAGCAAATATACACAAAGGAATATTATTCATCCATAAAAAGGAATTAAATCTTGCCATTTGTGCCAACTTGAACGGAACTTGAGAACATTAGCTGATTGATATAAGTCAGAGAAAGACAAATACTGTGTGACCTTATGTGTATGTGTAATTTAAACAACAAAAACAACAAAACCCAAGGTCTTTGATGCAAGGAATGGATTGGTGGCTGCCAATGGTGAGAGTTGGGGAAAGTGGGTAAAATGGGTAAACAGGGTCAAAAATTACAAACAGGGTCAAAATTACAGTTTGTAAATAAATAAGTCATGGAGGTTACAATACTATGGTGACTGCAATTAATAACACTGTATTGCATATTTGAAACTTGCTAATAGAGTAAGTCTTGAAAGTTCTCATCATGAAAAAAAATTCATAACTATGTACAGTAATGGATGTTAACCAGATTTCTTTTGGTGGTCATTTCACAATATGTATAAATATTGAACCACTATGTTGTACATCTGAAACTAAGTTAATGTTATATTTCAATTATATGTCAATTAAAAATAGTAACAAATAATTTTTAAAAACCAATAAAAATGTCTAATAATATATTTTGACATTATACACATTTCTAAATCACTTTCCGGATAGTATATGCTAATTTATACTTGTTTTAGGATGATAAGTTATGCTTCCCATCATCAGTTATTATTTTCAACTCCTAACTGATTAGAAAAAACAATAACTGGATGTTCACTTACTTTATTTACTTCAAGCTAGAAGCACACCGAATCTCACTGTTCAAAAGTTTTTACAGTGTTCAATCTCCAGTTACACCACTTCCCTTCCCAAAGGTTGTGATGAGGCTAAAAGTTCCAGCCCTCTAATCTCTTGGTCTTATTGGTGATCAGCTCCATCATACAGCTATCTAGAGACCCCATCCTGTCACTTCATTAGCATAAATTCAGTTTGATTGGAAGAAGCTCTTTATGATTAACAAAAAGCATTCATTATCACTAGGGAAATTCCAAGGGGTTTAGGAGCTCTTGTACCAGAAAATCAGGGAAAAAGACCAAATTATTTTTGTGTATTATACCACCTTTATGCCATTAGAATGATTTTTCCAATCAATTAATGATTAAATTAGCTGATAAATTTATGTACTTAATCTCTCACATTTATAGTAAACATTTTTTCAGTTTGTCTTAAGTGATCTTTAAAGGGATGACATGTTACTTTATAAGGTAGTCAGCACCAGTGTGTTCATTTGTAATTATTTTATTATTTTTATGTAAGAATAAGTTTTCTAATTTTGACATAAATTTAATATTCATTTCCATTTTCCTCAATTTTTCATTTCTTAAAATATTTCATCTCAATGTTAAGTATCTAAATTTCAACATGAGATACTTGAGTAATGTTTTACCTTAGTTAACGAATATTTCAATGGTACAAAGGACACACACAAATCATTTATTGTTTCTTAAGCTGTTTAAGAAAAATAAAAACAAAGCTTGAGACCCATTTTATTATTATGTCTTGTGAGAGGGCCAAATTTTTAATAAGTATTATGCTTTTGGAAGAAGAATTAGGGAAGTTGGCTAATGAGCAAATACCTGTTTTACTTTCATTACAACCAATCAATTATTCTTGTCAATTATAGCAGTACTAAATACTTTGCTTTTTTTGATTTCTTTGTTTTTCTTATTATTCAGGTTCTTTTAACCTACTTTTTGGTGTATTATTTGATTCTTTTTTGTTATTTATATAAATTTTTGCAGACCAGATCCTGGCCTAATGAAGAGGCTAATATTCTGCAGTGTGAGAAAATAAGTTCTAATATCTATAGCAAAATTCATAATAAACAAAATGATAGTGAAGCAAGTGCTCCTTTGACCAATAGAAATCCTAAACTTTAAATCTTAAGATCATTATGTAGGAACCAAAATTTGTAATATTAATTATAAAAAAAATGTTAAGGTCTTTGTCTCTCTCATGTGTGTGCACATGTGCACTCACACACACACACACACACGCACATAGACATCCACACACCGTATATATAATCAAGTCAAATTTTTATTTACCATATTTGGACCACACATAGTGCCATTCGCTGTATACGTAATATCATCTGTTACATGTGCTGTTGGTATTCTTAAATATGCGGAGATACACACATGGCCTTCCATGTAAGTATATTGAACATCAAATTTTTTAAATGGTATTACTTCTAAACGTGTCCAATGACAAACTATCTTTCCACAAAGGATATCCCTGGCAATATAAGGAAGAAACAATTATCCATATGTCACTTAAGGACAAAAAATATTAGGGAAATAATAGTTCAAATATGAGGGTAATTGAAAATGTTACTGGATCATAGCACCAAGCTATTCAGAATATAAACAATCTTAAGAAGTGCAACATAAATATTTATCTGTATATAATACATTCACCTCTCATTTGCATTAAGCAACTCTTTGCAGTACAAACACACAAACAAAATTGGAAAATTTATAATTTTCTAAATACACACTTAAAATTACAATACTTTCGTCCACAGTTTCCAAAATCATCTTCCTGAAGATTCACTTCTTGTGTACATAGAGAAGTAGAACCCTTTGCAACTGAAAATATAAATAAAGTTCCAATTACTCATCTTTAAAACATTAAAAGCTAAAACTGTGGTAAATTAATATAGAGACATCTAGACAACAGCAATGCCCAGTGTCAGGTACTATAAATTTTTGGTATCATCTACTGGCTACACAAGAAGAACCATTAAAAACTCCCACTAGAGAATAGGAAAATTGCTATCATACTGAAGCAATGACTAAGAAATCAAACCATCATTACTCTCTTATCTATAATTCTAATATTCTACTCATTTTCTATCAATTACCTGAAATTTGACTAATATCTTATTCTTTTTATCCTATAATTATTAGATCTATCTACCTGTTGGCATAGTTCAAAGTTGTTTTGATTTGTAATTTTATTTTCAAATTTGAATTTACACAAACAATACCTTTTATCATGGTTACAGGGTGGATTACTGACTTTAGAAAAATATAGTTTGAAAATGAACCACTGAGGAGCCTACACAGGAAAGACAAATCCCATGATATCTGGTTTTGAAAGCAAGAGGGCCAAATTTTGTGAATTCTTACAACCAGCAAGACTTAAAACCCAGAATTTTATTTTATTTTATTTTATTTTATTTTATTTTATTTTATTTTATTTTTTCAAACATATATATATATATATTTTATTTTCAATATATGCAATTTATTGTCAAATTGGTTTGCATACAACATCCAGTGCTCATCCCAAAAGGTGCCCTCCTCAATACTCATCACCCACTCTCCCCTCCTTCCCACCCCCCATCAACCCTCAGTTTGTTCTCAGTTTTTAAGAGTCTCTTATGCTTTGGCTCTCTCCCACTCTAACCTCTTTTTTTTCCCCCTTCCCCTCCCCCATGGGTTTCTGTTAAGTTTCTCAGGATCCACATAAGAGTGAAAACATATGGTATCTGTCTTTCTCTGTATGGCTTATTTCACTTAGCATCACACTCTCCAGTTCCATACACGTTGCTACAATGGGCCATATTTCATTCTTTCTCATTGCCACGTAGTACTCCATTGTGTATATAAACCACAATTTCTTTATCCATTCATCAGTTGATGGACATTTCGGCTCTTTCCACAATTTGGCTATTGTTGAGAGTGCTGCTATAAACATTGGGGTACAAGCGCCCCTATGCATCAGCACTCCTGTATCCCTTGTAAAGCCCAGAATTTTAAAACTCAGTGGCTAGGCTCTGGTTGAACCCAGAGGGCATTAGGAAGCTGAGTACCTAGTATTGGACAGCAGGACAAACAGCCAGCAGAGATACAACAGGGAAGCAGCAGTCTGAAAACTGCCAGGGACAGACAGGAGGGAGAGTGATCTATTCATCTTAGAGCATGGTCTGGGAAGGCAAGGATCATGGGGAAATGCCTCCAGGAACAAAGGAGCTAGACGTTGCCATTTTCCTCCCCCAGCCCCCACCATAAACACAGGGCCACCTGCAGGAAACAGCAATGGTGCCACCATTTGCTACCTAAGCCCAAACCTCCTGTGCTTCAGTGGATCAGCCCTTCCCAGTCATGCTTGCCTCAGTCCCAGTGCTGTGGGCCCCCTCCTCCAGAAGACCAGTGAAAACTCCAACAACACCTAGTCAACTGACCCACATGTTTTGTGGGACCTCAGTTCCTGTAGTGTTGGTAGTAGCAGGTCTCTTTTTCAAGCAGACCGGCACACACCATGTTAAAATGTGCTGCACCCAGCCATGGATCAAACATTGCCCACAACAACAACAAAAAAAGATCCTCTGCAGACAACTGTACTGAAGGAAGAAAGAAGCAGGGCATAGGTATCACACGTAGGAGACATTCCCTGAAGCATCAGGTCCTGGGCAACAGGGGACACTGTACTGCAAGGTACTAAAGGACTACTTCTTCATAAGGCCATTACCTTCAATAGCAATATACATAGTTGACTTACCTAACACAGAGAACCAAACACAGGGTTAGACAAAATGAGGAGACAAAGGAATGTGTCCTAAGTGAAAGAAATGTGTCCTAACCAAAAGACCAAACCACAGCAAAAGACCTAACCAAAACAGAAATAAGTAACATGCCTGATAGAGAATTTAAAGTAATAATCATAGAGATACTCTCCGCACTTGATAAAAGAGTAGAGAATATCAGTGAAACTCTTAATAAGGAGATAAAAAAGAACCAATCAGAGATGAAGAACAAAATAAATGAAATTAAAAATATACCCGATAGAATAAGTAGCAGGCTAGATGAAACAAAGGAAAGAATTCATAGCCTGCAAAATGGAGTACAGGAAAGTAATCACGCTGAACAAATGGGAGTAAAAATAATTATGCAAATTGAGAATACTCTTAGGGAACTTAGTGACTACATCAAGTATAAAACATTCACATCCTGGAAGGAGAGAGAGAAACGGGAGCAGAAAATTTATTTGAAGAAATAATAGCTGAAAATAATTGACAGTAATACAATAGTAGAGAAATTTAATACCTTACTTACATCAATGGACAGATCATCCAACCAGGAATAAAACAAGGAAACAGTGGCTTTGGCACTGAATAACACACAGGACCAGGTGGATTTAATGGATATATTCAGAACAATTCATACTAAAACAGCAGAATACATATTCTTTTCAAGTGCACATAGGACATTCTCCCCAATATGTCATACATTAGCCCACAAAACAAGCCTCAAGGAATACAAGAAGATAAAAGTCAGACCCTGCATCTTCTCTGACTACAATGCTATGAAACTAGAAGTCAACCACAAGAAAAAAATCTGGAAAGGCCACAAATACATGGAAGCTAAATAACATGTTACTAAACAATGAATGGGTCAACCAAGAAATCAAAAAGCATACGGAAAGAAATGAAAATGAAAACACAACCCTCTCTGGGATGCAGAAAAATCAATTCTAAGAGGAAAGTTTATAGCAATACAAGGCTACCTCAAGAAGCAAGAAAAACCTCAAACAGCCTACCTTGCACCAAAAGAGATAGAAAAAGAATAACAAACAAAACCCCAAACCAGCATAAAGAAGGAAATAATAAAATTAGAGCAGAAATAAATTATATAGAAACTAAAACACAAAAACGAAAACAAACAAACAAAAAAAACAATAAAACAGATCAATAAAACCAGGAGCTGATTCTTTGAAAACATCAATAGAATTTATAAAACCCTAGCCAGACTCATCAAAAAATAGAGAGGAGCCCCCCCACCCCGCTCCCACCAAAAGATCAGAAATGAAAGAAGAGAAATGAAGGAGGAGAAATAATAATGAAAACAGAAAGGATTGCAAGAGAATATTATGAAAAGTTATATCCCAACAAATTGGACAACCAGAAGGAATGGATAAATTCTTAGAAACATATAACCTACCAAAACTGAAGCAGGAAGAAACAGAATATTTGAACAGATCTATTACCAGCAATGAAATTGAATCAGTATAAAAAAACAAAAACAAAACAAAACAAACAAACAAAAATCTCCCAACAAACAAAAGTTGAGGACCAAATGGCTTCACAGAAGAATACTACCAAACATGTAAAGAAAAGTAATACCTATTCTTTACAAACTATTCCAAAAAATAGAAAGAAGGAAAACTTCCCAATTCATTCTATGAGACCAACATCACCCTGATACTAAAACCAGATAAAGACACCACAAAAAAAGAGAATTACAGGACAATATCTCAGATGAACATAAGGCAAACATCCTCAACAAAATACCAGCAATCTGAATCCAACAATATTCTTTTTTTATTTTTAAAAAAAAATTTTTTAACGTTTATTTATTTTTGAGACAGAGAGACAGAGCATGAACGGGGGAGGGTCAGAGAGAGAGGGAGACACAGAATCTGAAACAGGCTCCAGGCTCTGAGTGGTCAGCACAGAGCCCCACACGGGGCTCGAACTCACCGACTGTGAGATAGTGACCTGAGCCGAAGCCGCTTAACGGACTGAGCCACCCAGGTGCCCCTGAATCCAATATATTAAAAAAAAGTCATTCACCAAAAATAAGTGGCATTTATTCCTGGGTACAAAGGTGGTTCACCATTCACAAATCAATCAATGTGATGAATCACATCAAGAAGAGAAGGGGTAAGAACCATATGATCGTTTCAAGATGCAGAAAAAGCATTTGGCAAAGTACAACACCCATTAATGGTAAAAATACTCAACAGTGCTGCCTTGGTGGCTCAGTCAGCTAGGCATCTGACTTTCGCTCAGGTCATGATCTCACAGTTTGTGAGTTTGAGTCCTGAATCAGGCTCTGTGCTGACAGCTCGGAGCCTGGAGTCTGCTTCAGATTCTGTGTCTCCTCTGACCTTCCCCTGCTCACGCTCTGTCTCTCTCTGTCTCAAAAATAAATAATAAACATTAAAAAACCACTCAACAATGTAGGTTTAGACTATATAAAAGTCCTAGCCACAACAATCAGAAAAAAAACAAAAAGAAATAAATGGTATCTAAATTGATAGGGAAGATGCAAAATTTTCACTATTTGCAGATGACATTATACTATATATAGATACTATATATAGATAACTCAGAAGATTCCACCAAAAAACTACTAGAACTGATAAATGAATTCAGTAAAGTCACAGGATACAAAACTATACACAGAGACCTATTGCTTTCTTATACACTAATAATCAAGAGGCAGAAAGAGAAATTAAGAAAACAACCCACTTATAATTGAACCAAAAACAATAAAATATCTAAGAATAAACTTAATCAAATAAGTGAAAGACCTGGTACCCTGAAAACTATCAAACGCTGATGAAACAGATTCAGGATGACACAAAGAAATGGAATCCCATGTTTATGGGTTGGAAAAATAAATATTGTTAAGCTGTCTATACTACTCAAAGCAATCTGCAAACTTATTTCAATCTGTATGAAAACACCAACATTTTCCACAGAACTAGATCAAACAATCCTAAAATTTGTATGGAAACACTAAAGACATCCAATAACCAAAGCAATAAAACAAAAACAAAAACAAAACAAACAAAAAAACTAGAGGTGTCACAATTCCAGACTTCAAGTTATATTACAGAGCCAAGGTAATCAAACAGTATGATACTGGCACAAAAACAGACACATAGATCAATATAACAGAATAGAAAACCCAGAATGAGCCCACAACCAAATGGTTAATCTTTGACAAAGCAGGGAAGAGTATCCAATGGGGAAAGGACAGAGGACAGTCCCTTCAACAAATGGTGTTGGGAAAACTGCACAGCAACACACACGAAAGAAAAGAAAAGAAAAGAAAAGAAAAGAAAAGAAAAGAAAAGAAAAGAAAAGAAAAGAAAAGAAAGAAAAGAAAAGATAAGAAAAGAAAGGAAAGGAAAGGAAAGGAAAGGGAAAAGAAAATAAAAGAAAGGAAAGGAAAGGAAAGGAAAGGAAAGGAAAGGAAAGGAAAGGAAAGGAAAGAGGACCACTTCTGTACACCATACACAAAAATAAATTCAAAATGGATTAAAGACCTAAATGTGACACCTGAAACCATAAAAATCACTGAGGAGAACACAACCAGTAACCTCCTTGGCATTGGCCATCGCAACATTTTTGTATATATGTCTCCTGAGGCAAGGGAAATAAAAGCAAAAATAAACTATTGGGACTACATCAAAAACAAAACAAAGCAATACAAAACAAAACAAAACAAAACAAAACAAAACAAAACAAAAACAAAAAAACAAAAAAGCTTCTCCACAGTGAAGGAAACAATCAACAAAACTAAAAGGCAACCTGCTGAATGGGAGAAGATATCTGCAAACAACATATTCAATAAAGGGTTGGTACCCAAAATATATTTAAAAAACTGAGACAACACAATATCCAAAAAGAAAATAATCCAATTAAAAATGGGAAGAAGCTATGAACAGGCGTTTTTCCAAAGAAGACAACAGATGGTCAAAAAGACATAGGAAAAGGTGCTTATCATCACCACTCATCAGGGAAATGCAAATCAACACTACAATGAAATTATCACTTCACACCTGTCACAATGGCTAACATCAAAACCACAAGAAACAAGTGTTCATGAGGATGTGGAGAAAAAGGAAACTTCTTGCACTGTTGGTGGGAATGCAAACTCATATAGCCACTCTGAAAAAGTGTGGAGATTCCTCAAAAAGCTAAAAATAGAACAATCCTACAATCCAATAATCATACTACTAGGTCTTTACCCAAAAAGTACAAAAACATTAATTCAAAGAAATGCATGCACCTCTATGTTTATAGCAACACTATTTACAATAACCAAATAATGGAAGGAGCCTAAATGCCAATCAATAGATAAATGGATAAAGAAGAAGTGATATATATACAATGGAAGATTGTTCAGCCATAAAAAAAAAAAGAAAAGAATGAAATTTTGCCATTCACAATGACACGGATGGAGCTAGAGAGTATAATGCTAAGTGAAGTAAGTCAGTCAGAGAAAGACAAATATCATATGATGTCACTCATATGTGGAATTTAAGAAGCAAAACAAAGGAGCAAAGGAAAAAAAGAAGAGGGAGAGGGATACAAACCAAGAAACAGACTCTTAACCATAGAGAACAAACGAGAGTCAACCAGAGGAGGTGGTTGGGGGAATGGGTGAAATAGGTGATGGGGATTAAGGAGTACACTTACCATGATGAGTACTGAGTAATGTATGGAATTGTTAAATCACTATATTGTACACCTGAAACTAATATAACTCTGTGTGCTAACTATACTGGGAAAAATACAAAATAAAATAATAAAATTGAACTTCAGAAAAAAAGTATACTATTACATTTTCCAAATAACTCTGCACACTGTCTATCTGTATCTTGGCATATTCCTTGAAAGCAATAGGCAGTGTTATTATTGCATGGTTGTAAATCAGCAGATATCACATCAGGTACACAAAACTCAGATGTTCCATTGCAAAATTCTGGAAAATCACACAGATCTTGGCTTTGTCGACATATAGTTCCCTTTACAGAGAGCTGTGAGACAAAGAAAAAGAATTATTTTTGTAAAGTAATAAACCAAAACTGTAAAAAAATTATGTAAGAAAAGTGTAGATCTATCATTTCTATTATTACCACATTTTAACTACTTAAAGTCAAATTATGAATTTACTTGAAAACTCAAGATTAGAAAAAGCCCAAATGTCCATCAATGAATGAACAGGTTAACAAATTGTGGTATATTCATGCAATGGAATATTTTCAGCCATATAAAGGAGCACTGATACATAGGTTACAAGATGAATGAACATTCAACACTATGTTAAGTGAAGAAATCCATACACAAAAGGTCACATATTCTATGCTTCTAACTTATATAAAATATCCAGAATAGGTTACTCCAGACAGAACACAAATTGGTGGTTGCCAGGACTGAGGGGAAGGAAGAAAGGAGAGCAAGTGCTTAATGCTCCAGGAGTCTCCTGTTTGACTGAGGAACTTGTTTTGGAACTAGATAGAGGTGGCAGTTGCATAACACTGTGAATGTACTGAATATCACTAAATTGTTTCCCTGAAAATGGCAAATTTTATCGTACATGATTTTCACCTTAATTTTTTAAAAACTCTACCAAAAGTAAGAATTATTCCCTTTTTAAAGAACTTCCCTCTGGGATGTAGGGAAAGGGCAATGGGCTATGTGGAAAAACCTTATTGCTTAATCCTTCTGATTTGGAGACAAAGGACAAGATGAGAGCTCTGATGAAGGGAAGAGCAACAAGGTTTATTGCTAAATAGTGGAAACTCTACGCTTGTCTCCTTGAAGACAAGTGGCCAGTGACTTTAATTACTAGCACGAAGAGTGAAAAAGAACACACAGAGAACAAAGTAGAATGATATTAGGAGAGATTTCATTGATGGAGAACCTGCAAATCTGAAATCTGGCAATCAAGATCTCTAATTAATCAGCTTTTATGATTGTTGTTGACGTCTAAAGGTGACACAAAAAAGGCAAGATGCTACAATGAAGCAATCCCCAAAAGACAAATCTTACTCAGTCTCCTTCCAGGTGTGACTATAAAGGAAAACTCAATGGGAAACTTCCCAAGGAAAGTCAAGGATTCAATCCACTTCAGGATCCAGGTGTATCTACAAAGCTAACTTCAATATTAGACATGCTACATGTTGCTGACTATTCTACATGGACTCTTTTTCTGCTATTCTCACAATGAGATTTTTACTATTATTGTTGTCTGTTTATTCAAACACTGTACATGAACTGTGTTGGGTGGCTTATTTTTAATTTCGTCATAAGTTCTTCGGTCATGAGGATCTACATTCAGGTATGACCTCAGATATGACCAAAAGGAGTCATTAGCATCCAAATAATTTGAAATTGGTATTGAATAATTGGATGGATCTTCAGTAGAGATTGAAACAATACAGTGAAGGCAAACATAAGAAGGAAGGTTGAAAAAAAATCTAAGGATAGCTTCTGAATTCTGAAGTTCAACTGTGTATGAATCAGGTACCTAAAGTTACACACAGTATTTGAAAGTCGTGTAAAAAAATAAAATTAAAAAAAAAAAGTGAATAAACAAGGACAGAAAAAAAATCATGAAAGAATGTACCATAATATTTTGAAAGCTTACCAGACAAGTATTTTTATCACAGCACGGTCCAGTGCCACACTCTGCAGGTTCAATCAGAGTACAGTGTTCAGTATCACAGCATTTTTCAAATTTGCATGGCTAAAAGTAAATATAGTCAGGTTAAATAATAGGAATTTTCAATTAAAGAAATCATTCCATTTATTGTCAAAATATACTATAGCATATCTCTTAGTTAATTACAATCACAGTATGATTTTTACTTCTGTACTTATTTTTAACACCACTTCTTTTAAAGTTAATATATTTCCAGTATAGGAAAAAGAATGAAATTATTTATGGTTCCATGCTCAAGAAACTGAACTGTTAAAAATGTAATTCAATTTCTTTTTTTAGTGTTTATTTATTTGAGAGAAGGAGGAGGGGAGAGAGAGAGAGAGAGCAAGAGCGAGAGCGAGAGAGAGAGAGAGAGAGAGAGAGAGAATCCCAAGTGAGCTCCATGCTCAATGCAGAGCCTAATCCAAGGCTTGATCTCACAACCATGAGACCATGACCTGAGCTGAAATCAAGCTGTATACTTAATAACTGAGCCACCTAGGCATCCCAAATGCAATTTCTGTCAATCTTATTTGTGTTCATAAATATAACACTGTAAATCTAAAAGTACTTTGAGAGAGAGAGAGAGAGAGAGAGAGAGAGAGAGAGAGAGAGAGAATCTTAAGCAGGCTTCATGCTTAGTGTGAAGCCCAACATAGTGCTCAATCCCACAACCCTGAAATCATGACCTGAGTTGAAATCAAGAGTTGGATGCTCAACCCACAGAGCCACCCAGGCACAGCTAACAGGTTATTGTACTAAAGGATATTTCAATGAAAATTTTGTTATTATTTTTTAGCTCTAAGATTTTACATTAAAGATTAATTCTAGAAGTTATTAGGCTATAGAGTACAAAAATATTAAAGGCTGTGTACAACATACTCATTTTCTTCTTTGTATACACTTATCTTTTAAGTGCAAGAGTAATGCTTCACAAGACTGTTAGTAATATTTAAAAATTAGTACAGTGATAGGCAAAAATACTAAGTGTTTACATTTGTTTCAGTTTTGTTATTTTTATTACTAATGTGCTGAAAACTCTCTATATATACATCTTCTGGTTTATTTTATATTTCTGCATGTATATTTATGTTAAGGTATTCTTGTCTTTATTTCCTTTATTTGTATGCACTTTTACGTTAATTATCTTAACCCTGGCTACTGATTTATCTTTACTATGTTTTACAATTTGTCATTGACCTGATTTTGGTTTTGGCACTTTTGGGGTTATTCTGGGTAGTTTTTTGATAATACGATATTGTGAAATGATAGACTCATGATATCTGATAACTATCATCTTTTTTGTGTGGTTCTTGAGTTTATAGATAAAACTTTCTTTCACCCTAACCCCAGTAAATATGTGAGGTTTTGTAAAATATTTGCATTACATGTATTATGTATTTATTTTTATGTTGAATGGTTTGAATAGTATATTGTGAAAGAAGCTATAATGATGTATCTTTTTCTCAAAACAGAGGTTCAATTTATCAGTTGCTTTTATAGAATAATAATTTATTCCTGATCTTTTGTAATCCCTGGATTATCATATACTATCCTATATAAAATCATATATAATGTCAATGTCTTCAATTATACTAACTGCATATAACTAAAGTGTATTTAAAAATTTTATTATTATAGGGTGCCTGGGTGGCTCAGTCATTTAAGCAACCAACTTTGGCGCAGATCATGATCTTGCACAAGTTTGAGCTCTGCAATGGGTTCTGTGCTGACAGCTCAGAGCCTGGAGCCTGCTTTGGATTCTATGTCTCCCTCTCTCTCTACCCCTCCCCCGCTTGCCCTCTGTCTCTCTCTCTCTCTCTCTCAAAAATAAATTAAAAAAATAAAATTTTATTATACACATGTTTTGATATTTACAGAAGACATTTTTACATTTTCATGTTTCATTAATAAATGTATTATGCTTCATAATATAAATATTTTCATAAATTATCAAGATTATTTAGTAAATACAGAAAATGGAACACATTAACTATTAATATTGCAGGGGAAAAAAACCCTAAAATCAATGACATGAAAAGGGAAAACCTCCAAAGGCTAGAATCAAAGAGAGTCTACAGTGAAGAATATGTTTTGAAAATACTCGATTTACAATTGAAAGCTACACTAAATTCGGGGCTTAGAAATGTTTTTTTCTTCCAAGATTTTATTTAAATTCAAGTTACTTAAGATATAATGCAGTTTTGGTTTCAGGAGATTTTTTAGTGATTCATCACTTACATATAACACCCAGTGCTCATCATGAAAACATCCCTCTTTAATACCTATCACCCATTTATCACATTTCCCCACCGACCTCCCCTCCAGCAACCCTCAGTTTGTTCTCTACAGTTAAAAGTCTCTATGGCTTGCCTCCCTCTAAGTTTTTATCATGTTTTATTTTTCCTTACATTCCCATGTTCATCTGTTTTGTTTCTTAAATTCCACATATGAGTGCAACCATATGGTATTTGTCTTTCTCTGACTGACTTATTTTGCTTAGCATAATACAATGACTTTATCCACATCTTGCAAATGGCAAGATTATATTCTTCTTGATGGCTGAATAATATTACATTGTGTATATATACACCACATCTTCTTTATCCATTCACCACTCTATGGACATTTGGGATCTTTCCATAATTTGGCTATTCTTGATAGTGCTGCTATAAACATAGGGATGCATGAGCCCCTTCAAATCAGTACTTTTGTATCCTTTGGATAAATACTTAGTAGTGCAATTGCTGGATTTTAGGGTAGTTCTATTTTTAACTTTTGGAGAACCTCAATACTGTTTTCCAGAGTGGCCGCACCAGTTTGCATTCCCAACACTGTAAGAGGGTTCCCCTTTCTCTGCATCCTTACCAACATCTTTTGTTTCCTGTGTTGTTTATTTCAGCCGTTCTTATAGGTGTGAGGTGATATCTCATCATGGTTTTGATTTGTATTTCCCTGATGATGAGTGATGTTGATCATCTTTCCATGTGTCTGATAACCATCTTTATGCCTTCTTTGGAAAAATGCCTCTTCATGCCTTCTGCCCATTTTTAACTGGATTATTTGGGTGTTAAGTTTGTATTTTGGGGTGTTGACTTTGATAATTTGTTTTTAGATTTTGGATACTAACCCTCTATCTGATATGCCATCTGCAAATATCTTCTCCCATTCCATATGGGGCCTTTTAGTTTTGTTGTTTCCTTTACTGTGCAGAAGCTTTTTATCTTGATGAAGTCACAATAGTTCAGGTTTGCTTTTGTTTCCCTTGCCTCTGGAGACATGTCTAGTAAGAAGTCGCTGCACCAAGGTCAAAGACGTTGCTACTTGTGTTCTCCTCTAGGATTTAGTGGTTTTCTGTCTCACATTTAGGTGTTTCATCCACTTTGAATTTAGTTTTGTATATGGTGTAAAAAAGTGGTCCAATTTCATTTTTCTGCATGTCACCATACAGTTTTCCCAACACCATTTGTTGAAGAGACTGTCTTTTATCCATTGGATAGGCTTTCTTCCTTTCTATACATTTGTTGGTCCATTTCTAGGTTTCCTATTCTGTTCCATTGATCTTTGTGTCTGTTTCTGTGCCAGTACCATACTGTCATGATGACTACAGCTTTGTAATGTAGCTTGAAGTCCAAAATTGTGATGCCTCCAGTTTGGTTTTCTTTTCAAACATTACTTTGGCTATTCAGGGTCTTTTGTGGTTCCATACAAATTTTAGAATTGTTTTTTCTAGCTCTGTGAAAAATGCCGGTGGTATTTTGATAGGAATTGAATTGAATGTGTAGACTGCTTTGGGTATTAAATATATTTTAACAATATTTGTTCTTCCAATCCATGAGTATAGATTATTTTTCATTTCTTTGTGTCTTCTTCAATTTCTTTCATGGAGCACTTAGTTCTTTTACAGTCAGAGTAACTATTGATAGATATGAATTTAGTGTCATTTATTACCTGTAAAGTTGCTGTTCATGTAGATTGTTCATTTCTATTTTTGGTGATTTTGGTATTTCTTTCTCTCCCAAAGGGTCCCATTTAATATTTCTTGTGGAGCTGGTTTAGTGTTCACGAACTCCTTTAGTTTTTGCTTGTCTTGAAAATTCTTTATTTCTCCTTCTATTTTGAATGAGAGCCTTGCTGAATAAAGTATTCTTGGCTGCATTATTTCCCATTAAGCATGTTGAATATGTCATGAAACTTTCTTCTGGCCAGCCAAGTTTCTGTGGACAGGTCTGCTGCTAACCTTATGTGTCTAACTTTGTAGTTTAAGGAACTTTTGTCCCTAACTGTTTACAGAATTCTCTATCTTTGCAAGTTTCACTAAGGTATATCTTGGTGCTGACTTGATTTTGTTGATTTTGAGGGGAGTTTGCTGTGCCTCTTGGACTTGAATGCCTGTTCCTTCCCCAGATTAGGAAAGTTCTCAGTATAATTTGTTCAAATAAACCTCCTCCTTCCCCCTTTTCCCACTCTTCTTCTGGGTTGCTATGATATGGATATTATTGCACTTTATGGAATAGCTGAGTTCCCTAAGCCTATATGTGTGATGTTTTCTTCCCTTCCTCTTTTCAGCTTCATTATTTTCCATAATTTTATCTTCTATATAACCTATTCCTTCCTCTGCTTCTCCCGTTGTGATTAACTCAAGTTGGTTTTGCATCCCACTTATAGCATTTTTATTGCAGCCTGACTAGTTTTTCAGCCTTTTATCTCTGAAGCAAGGATGTTTCTGGTGTCTTCTATGCTTTTTTCAAGACCAGCTAGTATTCTTAAGACTTTTGTTCTAAATTCTTGTCATATATATTCCTTATATCTGTTTTGAGCAAATCCCTGGCTGTGATTTCTTCTTGATCTTTCTTTTGGGGAATATTCCTCCATCTTGCCATTTTTGCCTAGGTTTCTGTCTTTTGCAAGTTATGAGAACTTGTTGTGTTCCCTGTTCCTGAGAGTAATGCTATATGAAGAGGTCATACACTGTCCATGGCCTGGAGCTTCAGGAAGTGTTTCTGGTGTATGCTGTGTGCACTGGGTTGTGTTTTGGCTGGTCT